CCTCCCAAAGTGCTGGGATTACAGGCTTGAGCCACCGCGCCCGGCCCGTTGTTTTCATTTATTTATTTATAGCTGGGATTACAGGCACCCACCACCACACCCATCTAATTTTTTATTTTTAGCAGAGATGGGTTATTGCCATGCTGGCGAGGCTGGTCTTGAACTCCTGAACTCAGGTGTCCACCTGCCTCAGCCTCCCAAAGTGCTGAGATTACCACCGTAATCTCAGCGTGACCCACCATACCACCTGGCCTATTTATTTATTTTTTGAGCCAGAGTCTCACTCTGTTACCCAGGCTGGGGTGCAGTGGCATGATTTCGGCTCATTGTAGCCTCCACCTCCCCGGTTCAAGCGATTCTCCTGCCTCAGCCTTTTGAGTAGCTAACAGGTGTGGGCCACCACGCCCAGCCTATTTATTTTTTGAGACAGGGTCTTGCTCTGACACCCTGGAGTGCAGCGGCATGATCATGGCTCACTGCAGCCTCAGACTCCTGGGCTCAAGTGATCCTCCTGCTCCAGCCTCCCCAGTGACTGGGATTACAGGCACATGCCACCATGCCCCGCTAATTTTTAATTTTGTACAGGTGGGGTCTTGCTTTTTTGCCCAGGCTGGTCTTGCACTGCTGTGCTCAAGCAATCCTCCCACCTTTCCCTCCCAAAGTGCTGGCATTACCAGCACGAGTCAAAGTGCCCAGCTTTGTATTTTAAAAACAAATATTTATATATTTGTACATTTTTTTTCAAACTGGACCCAATTAATACCATATACAAACAAAACTGCCAGGTAGTTGTAAAAATCTAAATGTAAAATGCAAAACTATAAAGATAAATTTGGCTACAATAAATCAACTTTTGCTCACCAGAAGGTATAACAGAGAACTACAAGACAAGCTTCGTTACTATCATCTCCTGTCCTTTGTTCTTGTGAGACACCTCTTTAGAGAAATCCCTGTCATAATTTAGTGGGAGTTCCAGAGGAAGCAGAGGTAAACAAACATGTAAGATTTACCACTCTCTTAATATTTTTTATTTTATATTTTGAGACAGTCTTGCTCTGTTACTCAGGCTGCAGTGCAGTAGTGCAATTTTGGCTCACCACAGCCTCTGCCTCCTTTCAAGTGATTCTCATACCTCAGCTTCCCTAGTAGCTGGGATTACAGGCATGTGCCACCATGGCTGGCTAATTTTTATATTTTTAGTAGAGACAGCAGGTGATACGCCCGTCTCAGTCTCCCAAAATGCTGGGATTACAGGCATGAGCCACTGCACCTGGACTTTTTTTTTTTTCTTTCTTCAGACAGTCTCACTCTTGCCCAGGCTGAGTGCCAGTGGCATGGTTGTGGTTCACTGCATCCCTGACCACCTGGGCTCAACATCTTCCTACCTCAGACTCCTGAGTAGCTGGGACTACAGGCAGGCACCATGCCCAGCCTATACATACATATATATATATATATATACACATTATATATTTTTTTGAGACAGAGTTAAGCTCTCGTTGCCCACGCTTGAGTGCAATGGCACGATCTCAGCTCACTGCAACCTCTGCCTCCCAGGTTCTTGAACTCCCTACCTCAGGTGATCCGCCCACCTTGGCCTCCAAAGTGCTTGGATTACAGGCGTGAGTCACCATGCCCAGCCGTTGGTTCAAGCGATTCTCCTGCTCCAGCCTCCCAAGTAGCTGGGATTATAGGCACACGCCACCACGCCCAGCTAATTTTTCTATTTTTAGTACAGACGTAGTTTCACCATGTTGGCCAGGCTGGTCTCGAATTCCTGACCTCAGGTGATGCACCTGCCTCAGCCTCCCAAAGTGCTGGGATTACAGGTGTGAGCCATCGTGCTCGGCCTTTTTCTTTTCTTTCTTTTTTTTTTTTTACTTCTTGCGTGAGAAAGAAAAATCATTTTCTAACTTATGCCTGACCCTTACTTATCACATCAGGTTTTAGATGTAAAATAAAAAATTAAGGAATAAGAAGAAGGTAGAGGACCAAGATAATTTGGGAAGTGTTGGATGGTTCTAGAAACTGAAACAGACTTGACAAAACCAAGACAAAGAATTAGCATAAATAAGGGTTTTTAAGTTTTATTTATTTATTTATTTAAAGATGGGGTTTCACCATGTTGGTCAGGCTGGTCTTGAACTCCTGACCTCAGGTGATCCACCCGCCTTGGCCTCCAAAGTGCTTGGATTACAGGCGTGAGCCACCATGCCTGGCCTAAATAAAGGTTTTATTGGTCAGTTTGGGTGAGTAACAAACTGACATACCCCCAGTTCACTATTCCACATATCCAAGTCCCTGAGGTGGCAAGAGGAGAAGCTAAGCTTATTGATGGTGAGCAATGGGTGGGAAGTGGAAAGGACCTGAAGGCCTCTGAGCGTTAACAAGACTACCGGGACCGGAACCAACGTCCTAGGAATAAGTCCAGGATGGAGAAGGCATCATCCAGGGCTGGAGGTCTTGGTGATTCTGGATCTAAGGAAGAAAGTCATACACATAAATAAGCTAAATGGAAGAGACTGGGCAGAAGCAAAGGAGAGAAATAATACTCAAGGGTAGAAGAGTAAGATTTCTCTTCCCCAAGGAATCTTGAGATGGATCCTTTTGACTTTTAACTTACCACCCCTAGGACTGCTATCTGCTTCATGTCGGGTTACTGTGGTCTCTGTCCGGCCCTCACTGTCCACCACCGTCCTGCGCTCCTCCACTACCTACAAGGAGAAATCCCCGCCATATTCCTAACATCACTAAAGGTTATGCTCAGCAGAGTCTTTAAAGATCCCTGTATCAGGGCATTCATTCCCTGGCCACCGTTTACTTTACCTCTTTCCTTCAACTCACCCCATCTGGCTTAGTGATCTTGGTCACAGAGATGCTCTTGAAATAGGATTTGGGCTGGGGCTGTAGAACTGAGCCAAGACCCTCCTGGGCAACCTGGGCATCAAGATCTGAAAAAGCAGAGAGAAGAACGAGGAGAGAAAGATTCCAAGGGAAAAAAGGAGACAAGCGTACAGGAAGAAACTTCAGGTCTGAGGGAGAACAGACAGAATTTCAGAAGAGTAACAAAAGACTGGTAAACTTCCCCTTCCTCCAGACTTACCATTGTCCTCTTTGGTTCTAGGATGGGGGTCCACAGGCCATATGTCATCAAACTGCAGAAGAAACCATAGTAAGTGAAAAGATACCTTCTAATCTGAAACTTGAAAGGTCATAGACCCCAAACTACTCCCAAACTCCAAAACCCCCTTCCAGAGGAGAGAGAATTCCATTCAGAATAGCTTTATTTACCCACTCCTTCCTGGCTGTTTTATATATCCTTCTACCAGAAAGATTTCCTGAACTAATATATTCCTAACCTCTGTGCACAACCCTGCCTTATCTAAGAATTATGTAGACCAGTGGTGTTTTTGTTTTCTTTTTAAGAAACAGAACACCCATTTCCCTCCAAAAAAAATCCCATGAGCTGAATATAGAAAACATATAAACACAGTAAACTGGAGGGCCTAGGATTCCAACCCAAAGCTATCAGATTCAAACAAGAAATGCAATCTTTGGCCAGGCACAATGGCTCATGCTTGTAAGCCCAGCACTTTGGGAGGTTGAGGCAGGTGGATCACCCTGAGGTCAGGAGCTCAAAAGTAGCCTGGCCAACATGATGAAACCTCATCTCTACTAAAAATACAAAAATTAGCCAGGTGTGTGGTGGGCGACTATAATCCCAGCTACTCAGGGGGATGAGGTAGGAGAATCACTTGAACCTGGGAATCAGAGGTTGCAGTAAGCTGAGAACGTGCAACTGCACTCCAGCTTCAGTGAAAGAGCAAGATTCGGTCTTGAAAAAAGGTGCAACCCCCTCCACCTCCTGGGTTGAAGCAATTCTCCTGCCTCAGCCTGAATAGCTGGGATTACAGGCACGCACCACCATGCCTGACTAATTTTTTTGTATTTTAAGTAGAGAAGGGGTTTCACCATGTTGATCAGGCTGGTCCTGAACTCCTGACCTTGTGATCTGCCCACCTCAGCCTCCTAAAGTGGGCTGGGATTACAGGCGTGAGCCACCGCACCCGGCCTTTTTTTTTTTTTTTTTTT